TCTCTCGGACGCAAGACTCAACACGAAGATCTGCACGCATTGAGCTACGCTACCGAGTCGGTCGACTTGTTACTGTCGTCGGAGGTCTTCGAGCATCTTCACTCACCGTACGCAGCATTCAGCTCCGTGTACCGCGTGTTGCGCCACGGTGGGAAACACCTTTTCACGACCCCCTTTAGCGGGCTTGCGCGCGACACGCAGTTCTCACGGCGACATGCCAACGGCACGATTGTTCATCCACCGAACGGGGCGACATACCATGGCAACCCCAACCCTCAGTAGAGCGATCCTGGTCTTTCCGAAGACGAGCCCCGCGCCACGGGTGCCAGCCGTGCCTCCGCGGGAGCCGCCTCTCGAGCCGCGTCCCGCCGGCACTGTCCCTGAGTGCGTCCCGCCTTGGTTGGCGACACGCACTCGACGAGGGCAGTCCAGCCGACGGGAACGTGTCGCGCGCCGGCGACGAATGCGGCGGGGTGGGTGTGGGTACCGAGCGCCGCTTCGGCGAAGCGAGGTTGGCAGGCGCCCCTCACGAGTCCGTTCAGACATGCCACACGCCCCTCGCAAGCGAGGTTAGTAGGCGCCCCTGGCGAGACCCGCAAGAGATGCCACACCACCCTCGTACCTATACTCCACCAATGAGAAGGTGAAGAGATCTTATCGGCGGGTGGGCCGCGGACACCCTTGAGGTACCTTAAATTCTTTGGGCGCTGGCATACCAGGGGGGGCAGGGTGGTGGGCGGCGACCGCCGCATACCGTCCTACGGCGGGGACTATCGCTACGCCAGGGAAGACAAGGGCGTCGAAGTGCAGCTGCTGCTGTTCGAATCGTTCGGCGGGTTCGGAAAGGGGGTCCGTGAGATCCTCCGGAGAGCGGCGGACGTGCTACAGAACAAGCTGACGCGGGCCCAGTACCTCGATGAGGTGACTTGGACCACCAAGAGCTGGCTGGGGCTGCAGAAGCAGCGCATCTCAGTCGTTCTTCACACGGCCATCGCAGAGCAGGTCGTGAATGAGCTTGCCTGTGGCGGGGGTGGGCGGGTGCACGGAGCTAAGTGCCTCGCCACCCTCGCAGGAGTCGCTTAGGCGGCTCCCGTGGTGTACCTGTGTTAGTGCCAGTGCGAGCCAGTCCCGTGCCCAGTCCTGTGCCCAGTGTTGTGCGAGGGAGTTTTGTTGTAAAATTCTTTTGGCGAGGAGCCAAGAGAAGCTCGCACATACATGACCCTCCGCCCCCTCCTATCCCTGCTCCTCGCGGCAGCAAGCTCTGCGCTGGTCCTCCCGGCGGGCGGTCGCCTCGCGCCTCGGCTCGCCGTGCGCCCGCCTCGCGCCCACGCAGCGCCGCCTCGCTGCTCGTCCGCCGCCTCGCCGGGCGCCAGCGAGAGCGGCAGCAGCGGCAGCAATGCGCCGCGGCGGCGTCGGCTGCTGCCGCGGCTCCCGCTGGCGAGCGGCTCCGGGGGTCGGATGCGCGTGCCGCCTTGGCTCGATCGCCTCGCCACCCGCGCGTCCAAGATGCGCTGGCTGCGGCTGCTCTACGTGTTTCTGCTCGCGGCGCTCGTGCCCGTGCTGCTGGGGCGGCGCGCTCCGCCGCAGCGGGCGGTCGAGGTCTCGTACGCCGCCTTCATGCAGCTTGCGGCGCGCGAGAGCGGCCGCATCAGCGGCCTCCGCCTCTCTCTCTCGCGGTACGGCTTCCTGCTCGACGGCGCTCCAGCCTTCACGCGGCCGGTGAGGGCGCCGTCAGACCTGCAACCCTTCTAGGGCCCCTCTCGGACCCTTCTAGGACCCTCCTAGGTGCGGGCGCCGTCGGACCTGGTCTGGTTCCTACACAAGCACGGCGTCGACTTCCGCGCCGCGCCCGCCTCTGCCGCCGGCGCCCTCCTCCCACTCCTCTTCCCCCTGCTCTGGCTCGGCGCGCTCTACTCGATGATGCGCCGGCAGATGGGCGGGCAGGGCAACGTGTCGAAGCGGGCGTCGGCGCAGCTCCTCTCGGCGGACGGCCTCTCCTGTGAGGTGTGAACAGCGTCTCTTCACACCCACTGCTGTGAACAGGCGCAGCTCCTCGCGGCGGACGGCCTTTCCTTCGAGGACGTCGCCGGCATCGACGCCGCCAAGGAGGAGGTGCGCGAGGTTGTGGCGATGCTCAAGAGCCCGGCCACTTACGCCGCCGCCGGCGCGCGGCTGCCGTCGGGCGTGCTGATGTGCGGGCCGCCCGGCACGGGCAAGACGCTCCTCGCCCGCGTCATGGCGGCGCAGGCGGGCGTGCCGTTCTTCTACTGCTCGGGGTCTGACTTCGTCGAGCTCTTCGTCGGGCGCGGCGCCGCCCGCATGCGCGCCCTCTTCAAAGAGGCTGCCGCCGTGTCCCCGTGTATCGTCTTTGTGGACGAACTCGACGCTAGAAGCGGAAGACGGGTTCTTGTACCCCACCTAGCGCCTGAGAGACACGGACTCCGCTGTCTTCACACGCACTCCGCTGTATCCACTGTCCTCCTCTCCGTTGTCTTCACGCGGTGCTCTGAAGACGCTGCACAATACCGTCCCCCCGCCCTCATGTTGGCGTATTCAGCACGTAGGAGCTCGACGCGCTCGGCAAGCAGCGGTCGATGCGGCTCGCGGGGTCTAACGACGAGGTGCAGCCGAGAGGCAGCCGAGAGGCAGCCGAGAGGCAGCCGAGAGGCAGCCGAGAGGCAGCCGAGAGGCAGCCGAGAGGCAGCCGAGAGGCAGCCGAGAGGCAGCCGAGAGGTGGCCGAGAGAGAGCCGTACGAGGTGGCCGTCAGCCGCTTGGGTGTCGCCCCACATCGCCCCAGGAGGTGATGCCTCGCCTGGTCGCCCTGAGATCCCAGCATGAGATCCCAGCACGAAGGCTCGCAGCGGTGGGGGCCTCTCTTACTGTTGCAACACGATCTCAGAGCCGGTCGCAAGATGGGCCAGTGAGCGCGCGGCGCGGCTTCCTGAGCCGCTCACATGCCTACCTCGGCTGCCTCTCGGCTGCAGGTCGAGCCGAGTCTTTCACTCCTCCGGCCGAGCCGAGCAGTGACACTGAGTAGGTCGAGCAGACGCTCAACCAGATGCTCGCATGTATGGATGGGCTCGGGGGGGAGTCGAGGGATATCGTCGTCATCGGCGCTACCAACCGGTGCGACTGCCCTCGACCCCGCCCCCTTCCGAGCCCCTTCCGAGACATGTCCGAGCCCCTTCCGAGACATGTCCGAGACACGCCGCTCCCCCTGCCAGGTGCGACATCTCGACCCCACCTGTTCACGGCAGTGGGTGTGAAGAGACGCTGTTCACACCTCACAGGTACGACATCCTCGACCCCGCCCTCACCCGGCCTGGCCGCTTCGACCGCCTTGTGCGCATCGAGCTGCCCGACGAGGTGGAGACATAGCCGCGACATAGCCGAGAGACGGCCGGTACATAGCCGAGATGTGGCATCGAGACGGCGGGAGCTAGCAGGGCAGACGCCACTCCAAGAGTGGCACCGCACCGGAGACCGCGCGCCGAGCGACAGGCGGGGGCGGCTCAACGCCCTGCTACCACACCACCCACGGGACTGAACCCACACTGGATTCGAGACTCTGGAGGTATGGTAGGCGGGGCGGCTCAACACGCTGCGCGTGCACACCAAGTCCCTCGCCCTCGCCCCCGACGTCTCGCTACGCAAGGTTGCGGCCGCGACGCCAACATTCTCAGGCGCCGAGAGGCAGCCGAGAGTCAGCCGAGAGGAAGCCGAGAGATCGTTCGGAGATCGTTCGGAGATCGTTCGAAGATCGTTCGGAGATCGCTCGGAGATCGCTCGGAGATCGCCGAGACATAGCCGTGACGCCCCTCCCCCCCCCCTTCTCTGGCGGCGGAGAGTCGCAAGCACTCATCTCTGCTTCTACCTGTGAGCAGAGCTCGCAATCTCGGCTATATCTCGCCTATCTCCCGGCTATCTCCCGGCTATCTCTCGGTTGTCTCTCGGCTGTCTCTCGGCTGTCTCTCGCCTATCTCCCGGCTATCCCGGCTATGTCTCGGCTATGTCTGCGGGCAGGAGCGGAGCTCGCCGCTCTGACCAACGAGGCTGCGATCCGCTCCGTGCGCCGCGCCGTCGCCAGTATTGCGAGCGAGCAGGGCGGCGGCGGCGGCGGCGGCGCGGGGATGGCCATGCCGGCGCACAGTGGCGCGGGCGGGCCAGTCACTATGGCTGACTTCGACTCTGCGCTGGTCGACTTTGTGACTTCGCGGCGCAAGGGGCCAGTCGGCGGGCTCCTCGGCAAGGCGTGTCAAACGGCCCTGCCCCTCCCTCCCCGCGCCGCTGCGCTCACCCCGCCCCGTCCTCCCCGCGCGCGCGAAGGTCCTCGGCTAGTGTTGCTTGCCAGGCGCCTGCCCCCTCTACTGCTGCCCCCTCCCCGGCAATACGGCGGGGCCACTCTCCTGCGAGCTTGCGTGAGGAGTGGGTGGGGGCGGGAGAGCAGCTGAACACGGGCGGGCGGCGGCGGACTCCGGCTCGCGTGTCGACCATGGACTCCGCTGCTGCACGCCAGCGCAACGCGCGCGCGCAGTCCGTGAGGACATCGTGCGGGTTCGATGCGAGAGGGAGAGAGCGAGAGCGAGAGCGAGAGAGATGTTACTATGCGCGAAAAACACATCGTACAGTTTTAAGGCTTCCGCGGGTGCCGCGAGCCTCGTGGGGTCTCGCCCTGATGGCGCGCCTCCTCCGCTGGCGCTGCCGATCTGGGATCTGGCCACTCGTCCGTTAGAACGAAATAGCACCTCGACCACCTCTACCTCGACCACCTCGACAACCCACCTCGACCCGCTCCCTGCGCGGCTCCCCTGAGGCTTCCGCGGGTGCCGCGAGCCTCGTGGGGTCTCGCCCTGATGGCGCGCCTCCTCCGCTGCCGATCTGGCCACTCGTCCGTTCGTGTAGTACCTAGGCGCGCTGGACATTGCTCGCTCGCCACTTCCTCCGCGACGCCTGCTCAGTCAGTCATTCTTTGTGCGGCTATCAGGGCACGACTCCGTGTTTAGCTAATGGGAGTTGTCTCTTGAATGTCGGGCTGGACTGTTCGCGTGCGAGTGTCGGTGATGTGCAGGGTCCTGGGAAGCAAAGCCAGCGCAGGCGTCTTTGCACGACACGCTGCAAACAAGTTGCCTCTGTCGTCGGGCAGTTGGGGGGGGTTTGGGGTGAAAAAACTCTGACATTTTACGAACTCCTTGGCGACGCGCGCGCCGCGTCGCCAAGGCTCAGCGACCTCGGTCGTACAATCGGCCGGCTGCGCGGGTTTTCGGCGAGTTTCCCGCGCACCGGCCACGACGGACCAACCAGACCAAAAATCGCGACGCTCGCGCGCAAAAATCAGCACGGAATCAACGCTCACGACGCTCTCGATGATCTCGATGGTTCGAGGATTTGAGGATTTGAGGATGGTGAGGGGTGAGGGTGAGGTGTGCCCCCCCCCTCCCCCCCCGCCCGGCCTCGAACCCGCAGCCAACCGGCCCGAATGCGAACCTCTGACCGCTAGGCACGGGGGCGGCAAAGATGGAGAGGGGGGAGGGGGGGGGAATGAGGGAGAAGGAGAGAAAGAAAGAGGAGGAGAGAGAAAGAGGGCTAGGATGGGGGGGGGAGAGAGAGGGGGCAGGGGGGGGTTTGGAATGTCCGACTCCCGGGTGGAGACACTGCCCTTTGCAGGAGTCACGTGTCCCCAACGACCGGCAGTCGGTAATGAGGTTTGGTTGGTTGAGGAAGTCGGCCTCCGGTTCCTGAAGCAGGGCAGAAATAAATAAAGGTTAGGGACGTCTCGGGCAGTTATCGCCGCGTTGAATCCGTTCGTCTGCCGGAACGATCTCCCATCGGTTATAATAACCGGCGGCAATCGATAGTCAAAGTTGGGCTCCGGAAAGCGATAGAGCGCCCGCCCATGCCCTCCGCTTGTTGTGCAGCACTCGCGGCGCGCGCGCGCCGCGGTGTTGACCAACGACCGTGCCACTGGAGGCTCCCACGCCACTCGCGGCGATCCGCATCGAGGCCGCCCGTCGGCGCAGCAAAGGCACTGCGCACTTCTGGGCAGCGCCCAGAATGCAGGGAAGGCCTTGGCGCTTCTCGCCAGCCAGGCTGACTCGGCAACCGGCACGCGAGCCGACTGCGCGTCCCGAGCCCACGGATCGGCGCCGTCGCACAGGCCCGCCAGCCGCCGCACAGCTCCAGAGAGGCCACTGGCGTTGCGCTGCACTGCTTGAAGCTGATGTTGAGGCGCTGCACTGCTCAAAGCTGCCCCGTGCGCCGCCGCGAGCGCCGCGCCGTGGCCTCGTTCTCTGGCGAGCCCCAGCACGACCCCTCGCGGCCACTCGCGCCGTTGCAGCAGCTCCGACCCCGCCACTCCGGCTCCCGAGCGCGCGACGAGCACGAGGAAGAGCATGCGCATGGGCCAAAATCAGTTACCAGCTCTCTGCGGGTTCGAAATTCTTTCAGCCCCGCAGAGCTGCCCATGTGCCTCGTCTCTCTCGCGGTGTTAAATGCTCACACTGCAGGCCGAAGCTGACTCGTAGTCCATGCTCCGCTAGGGGCAAGTCGGCCAAGATTGGCCGCTTCGGCTTCCAGGGCTTCGAAAAGCAGAAGAAGCTCGCGAAACACGCCTCGGTGTGCGCGCCTGCCCCAGCTCCGCGCCTGCACTGCGGGCGCTCATCCGATGTGCGTCCCCTGCAGACCTACGGCGGCCCGGCGCAGCCGTCCATCGGCGAGCGGAAGCCCGCGGACAAGGCGAGGAAACAGGCGGGCGCGATCGGGAAGAAGAAGCCCAAGAGCGGGGCCAAGGCGGGCAAGAAGGAGCGGTTGTGTCCATGAGCACTGCGTCTGGTCGCGTCGCGTGTGTTCGTCCTCCCTCCCTCCGCGTCTCCGTTCTCTCTGCACACGCGCCGCTCTCGACGTGAGAGAGTGTATCTGTATGGACTGACACCGACACTGTGTCTGTGTACGAACTCTGCCGACACGCGGCGCGCGCGGCTTGGCCAAAGTACAGGTTTCGATCCGGGCCACCGCAAATTTTGATCAGCAAATTTCGAGGGGCGGCCGCAAATTTTGAGGTAGATTTTGATTGTCAAAATGTGTCCGTCTTGGCACAGGATAGAGCATATAGGCGGCGAACACCCAGGTGCGCAGGGACATCGCGACTCTGCCCGCTCGCTCGACCCTTTTGCCGCGAGAGGGCGCCGGCCGCGTGTAAGAGGTGGCTGGCGCCCTGAGGCGGCAATTGGTGGCGTGGGGAGTGCGGAGAACGCTACTGGCGGCGCGACAGGGCCTCTCTCGGTTGCGTGTGCCGCCCATCGGCACGCGGGTGCGCAGACATCGCGACTCTGCCCGCTCGCTCGACCCTTTTGCCGCGAGAGGGCGCCGGCCGCGTGTAAGAAGTGGCTGGCGGCCTGGCGCCCTGAGGCGGCATTTGGTGGGGTCAGCGTGCGGTGCTGAGTCTTACTCGTCGGCGCTGGGGCCAGATCCCAGCGCAGAACCCTGCAACGCTGGCATACAAACACAAGAAGACTAACCCTAACCCTAACCCTAACCCTAACCCTAACCCTAACCCTAACCCTAACCCTAACCCTAGGTCAGCGTGTGGGGCTGAGTCTTAGTCGTCGGCGCTGTGGGGCCAGATCCCAGCGCAGAACCCTGCAACGCTGGCATATACAGACACAACCAGACAACCCTGACCCTAACCCTAACCCTAACCCTAACCCTAACCCTCTAACCCTAATAACCCTAACCTAACCCACCCCCCAACTCCACACCGCAAATTTGAAAGATCCTGATGAAAATCAGGCCCGACTGCAAATTTCTTCAAAATTTTCGCAGGCACTCCGCGCCTGCAGATTTTGAAATAAATTCGACAAAATTGGTACCTGGCCCAACGCGCGGCTCACGCCTCTCGCCCACATAGAGGGTGTGGAGGCCGAGTTGAGGAATTCGAACTACGCGACCCAGATCGCAACAGGCGGCTCCGCGGCGATACCACACAACCAAACCTGACACATCATTTTGGGGGCCTGGCAGTTCGACTTACTGATTCTAACTGTAAAGCTACGGCTTTTTATGATATATAAGGATTATGTCCCTAAAGCCGTAGATGATACGGCTTTATCACTATATCAAAAATCTTCCCGACAGAGAGGCCAATTGGAAAAGAGAATTTTACCAACAAAGCTCCCTCTCGGTCTGGTCTCGCACGACACTGGGCACGGTGGACCGGGCGCCGCGCCGAGCGTTTTTCATCTCTCGGTCTGTCTGGGGTGCCGAGCCGCCTCGGGGTGGCGGGCGGGCGGGCGTTTTGAAAAACAGAAAACAGAAAACAAGGGGGGGGGGGGGGGGGCTGGGAGTAGAAAATACGCCCAAGGGGGCCAAGGAGGCGGCGCGGGGAAGCAGCATCAGGTGAGAGCAGGAAGGATGGCGCTTACGGCTTAGGGTCGGCTTTGAACAAGGGTTTCCAGGTTTTAGATCAGTATTGGTGTCGGTCACGATTTCGATGCGCGATTTAGCTAAGTCCCAGAGCCGTTTACGCATGAGGGGGCCCCCTCACCAGCCTAGGGCTCGCGCTTCTGGCCCGAGGTGTCGCCGCTGCCTCCCGCGCCCTCCGGCGCCTGCTGCTACTGCCGGTCGGCCGGTCGGGTCCGCGCGACGGCTCCATCCTCGAGACGTAGCGGTCGCTGAGCGCTTTCTCGACCGCTACGTCTTCCAGTGCACCCACCCACCGCGACCCTCGAACCTGCGCTGCGCGGCGCAGTTGCTGCCGAGCGAGACGCCCCCGCCCGCGCAGGGGCGGCATCACCAGACGCTACCGCATGGCCGAGCAGCGAGCAGTGTGTGCCGCAGTGCCCGTCCGGGCCCTCTTGCAGCTGCCTCTATTGGGCGTAAACCGCGGATATAAGGGTCTATACGGAGGTGGGTGGCCTCTTAGAGGTATGGGAGCCGCTGGCACCGCGCTGGGCGCCGCGGATGCACGTTCGAACGAACATTATGAAATCGGGACGATTTTGACCCAAAAATCACAAGGTGTGTCGGCACACATCCCCACATGAGGTCAGCGGCGCGCAGTGCCTCTCTCGCAGGCTGATTGTGGCTGTTTTCGAGCTTGTTTTTGTTTTCAGACTAGGGGGGCCGACCCCCTCAGAGGCGGCGGGCGGGCGGGCGCGGGCGCCCACAGACCGAGAGATCAAAACGCTCGGCCGCCGCACCGGTGGCACTAACACACGTAACACAGGAAAAGAGAAACAACAATGTACAAACACGATTTGAGCACAACTGGGGCACCGTCTGTCCGTATGCACGGGCGAGACAAACCATCGCCCGCTAGAACGAACCGCGACCTATCGGCCCTAGCCAGCGGGCGACGTTGCGTTGAGTGAGAGCCGCCCGGTCAACAGCGAACCTATAGACAACAGAGTCGCGCCATGCTCAGCACTCCGACCACGCTCAAGGCTGCCGCCGCTGTGTGGCCTTGAGACCCAAGAGCGCGAAGTCGCCGATCAGCGAGAAGGTCGGGTGGCTGAAGGTGGCGGGCCTAGTACACCACTCACCAGGCGCGCCTGAAGAGACGCCGCTCGCAGCGAGGGGGCGGCGGCTAGCAGGTGGCCGGTTGCGCTCGACGAAGAAATGCGCGACCTGTGAGGAGCGTGGAAGCGTGAAGATTCGACGGTCTCCCCGCAGTTGCGCTCGAGGCGGAGCAGCGGGCAGCCCAGGGCAGCACGTAGCCGCAGGCGAGGTGGGCAGCCTATGGGGTTTAAGATCACAACGTGATCTTAATAGGGCACACCAGCGATGATGACTGATAACTGACCATTCTCGGGATGGCCACAGGCAGGGTCGCTGGGCGCAGGCCGCCCACACAGCTCGCGGCGATCTCGGCGCTATCTCTCAGAGATGTCTCGGCTACATCTCGGCCGTCTGCGAGGGCGGTAGGCCAGAGTAGAGCCGCACAACGCCCATGAGGAGCGAGACCATTACGGCCGCCTCGGGCAGGCCGCTGCTGCAGCTTGCGGTGGCATCAGCGCCAAGAAGCGAGAGGCAGATGCCTGATCACAGCAGAGTGAGAGGACAGGTGTAGTATATCCAGTCGGACGTTGATATCTCGCGTTCTCATCTAAGAGAGCTGCCGGAAGCAAAGCCGAGCCCAACGCGGAGACTCGAGGCCGCGCCAAGGCGGACGGCGATCGAGAGGACGACGAGAGTCGTCCCGACCCCGTGCAGGAGCTTTGTCGTAGTGAGCGAGTGTTGCTGCACATACAGCGGCCAGAAGGATTCGAAATCGGCAAAGGAGCGGCTGGGCGGCCTGGCAGCGGCGACCGCCGGACGGTGTAGCGCGATGGCGACGCAGACGGCGGTGAGTGCGGCGCAGATATGGAGGGGCGGCCGATGCGTCGAGGCCATTGCTCTGGGCGGAGTCCACAGCGAGTTCAGTTCTCAGCCTTGTTATTGAGAAGAACCAGACCGTTTTGAGTAACCGGGCAGGCCGCCGGTGGCATCTCTTTCCACCCAAGAAGCCCGTTTGGAGGGATGGGCGGCAGTGTGCGGGCGGTGAGTGCTAGTCGTAGTCCTCTCATCAAAATTTAGAACGAAACGCCCCTCGCTCCCTTGGTATGAAATGAACTCGGGGGCACGGGACGCGGCACAAACGGGGCACAAACGCCAGGCTACAAAGACGGGGAGGCACGTAGTGACGCAGGGGAGTCTAGGCGACGGCGGCGTCCTCCGACGCCGCGGCGAGCCTGAGCTCGGTCGCAATCTCTTCCGCCGCCGCGAGCTGCAGCGCGACTGACATGCGCTGGGCCTGCAGCGAAAGCCACGACCGCGTCGACCAGCTCGCCTCGTCCTCGTGCTGCCGCTTCGAGAGCTTGTTGCGCACCTTGTCCTTCATCTGGTAGAACAGCCGTTTGACCGCGTTGCACCACCCGCCGAAGGTTTCAAACAGGTACATCTGCACGTCGGTGTCCGAGCGCGAGAGGG